CCCTCCCAGGAAAATAATAAAATATATTTGGGCCTGGTGGTTAGATCCTACACATTCAGAATTAATATTTTCTCAAAGAGAAGGGGGCAGAGTCAAAAGCCTATGGCAGCCACTCCTGGTGGGCAGGAAACTCATCCAAGGGGAAAAGAAATCTATAGTATAGGACACTACCCGAGATCAACAAATTTACTTTTTGCCTTCTTCTCTCACACCAATTCTTTCTCATTACTTTTTATATTATCAACAGAATAAAGTTTCTATTTGTTATATACTTGAAAATGAATGAATAACTTTTTATCAATGTTAGTGGGTACAATATAGTGGAAATCAGAAGGTAGTGGGTCTCAAGCCTCATTCATGCTAAGCACACTTTAGTCCAGCTTGGACTAGGTATGCTGGAAATGGGGGTGAAGGCTGAAAAATGCAGTTGCTTAACCCCAAAACCTGTATCACTTATACTAGACAAATACAGTCCTTCTTTGGGGGAAACAATGGTAAAAGCCAGTTCTCTTTGTTTTCTCTTTTTGATAAAGTAAGGAAGCAACTTTTCACTCTGTAACTTATATCTCAATCACCAGGCACAGAAATGACTTTCAACTTCAGAGAATCTGCTATAGGTCTGGACTCTGTCCTTCTCAACAAGTATTGGAACATTGTTCAACAAAACAAAGCCTCTTGCAGACATGAATCAACACCTGGTTATTCCACAATGACCTCACTAAAATGTAGGTGACATGGCAGACCCAAAATTCACCTAGGTAGGGTAGAGGAGCCTGGAAGAGACCTCAAAGAGATAGGAAGTTATCCACTAGAGAATCTGAAACTGAGAGTATATTTTCATCAAGTTTGGAAGGTATGCTATGGGGTGACAAAACATCAGTCTGGTGGTATTCATGAAATTAAGTTTAGGGCATGAGAGACACCTATTTAGATACTCAACCTCTAAGCAACTGAGATGAGATACAAATGAGGACCCGGTGTGACTACCAAGCAAGAGAAAAAGGCGACATTAAGGTACTGTACAAAAAAATAGTGCTTTCAAATATAAGCCTGTATCAGTATGACTAAGTTATAAATGACAGAAAACCCAAATCTAACTAGTTTAACAAAAGATGTTTATTGGGTCACATAGCTGAAAATTCCAGAGGTAGGTCTATTTCAGGTAAGGTTTGGTCTAGTGGCTCAAATGATGTCACCAAGGACCCAGTTTCTCTCTGCTTCACCACTGTCTTCTTTGGTATTGCTTCATCCTTAGGCTCCACATGATAGCACCAGGAAGCTCCAGACTCTCTCCTTCAAATAGAAAAATTGTTGCTACAGTTCCAGGCCTCACGTCTTCCTACGTATACACACCACACAGAGGAGAACAGAGACTATCTCCTTTGGTCCCTCTCAAAGAAGTCTCTCTCTTCCAGAAGGCGCAGTAAATCTCTCCTCATACGTCTTTGGCTCTGTGGCCAAAGGGATAGGATAAGTTGATGGACCTAGGCCAAACAAGATCCACTTATGAAGTTGGGGGTGGAGCCAAACCAGGTGGCTGAGAAAGGATGTTTTCCCAAAGAATATTTGGGTTACTGTTCCCGGAGAGAAGGTGAATGGATGCTGGGAACCAAATAGGAGATGAACATTACAGAGCTCTGACTGAAGGTCACAAAGACATGTTCAGAATTGCAGGCACTGATTTAAAACTGAGTTGCTTCTAAAACAGGCAACTCTATAGCTGTTTCTGGGTTGCAAAACAGGAGGGATTTAATTATTCATTTCCCCAAGAGATTCTGGGCAGGCCAGCTAATTTTCAATATGTGAATGACTCTATACATTACATTTCCTCACTTTCCAATCCTACTTTTGAAAATTTTGAAGACAAAATGTTACCATAATCAATTCTTCATTTTAATATATTGTTAATTGCACTTTGTCAGAAAGTATTTTAAATTTCTACCTTTTATATTTCTCCAAAATTTAGGAACTGAGTATTAATTTTATTCCTCTTCTGACTTTGAGATGTGTGGAAGGTGTCATTACAAATTGGAAGGTCTTCCATGTTACAATTCCTTCATCACAGTCTATAGAGACTTTGATACAGGCTCAGGGCTTCTAAGTGCCTGTCTCTGGGCCTCTGGTAAAGAAAAGACCAGTTAGGAACTCTCTTGGTAGGGTCCATCCATTTCCACATGCCACTTTTTAATCCTCCTGAAATACCTATCTTTTGCCATATTTTGATAATTCTCTCATTGTGATACTTCTAAAATTTGTCTAGCCATTCCACTACTCTGTCTATAAACATTTCCATCTTTGAGGGAGAGAGTTCCTAGGGTCGATCAACTTTCATGATGCTCCTCTGTAAGTCCAAACTGTTTCTTCTCTTTAGTGGTTCCATTTCCATGGGTTCTTATTCCTATTCACTATCTCTCTCTCCCATTTTAAGATACTGACCTCATCTAGCATATACATCATCCTCACTCTGGGAGCTTATGAATATTTAGGATTTTAATGATAACCTCCTTGTAGCCCTGGTCCAAGCTTCAACCCTATTTCAACTGCTGCCTGTGTAATGTGTCCACTGGTAACATTGCCAATCCCTCGCTAACTGCTCTTTCTTAGCATCACTTCCTGGCCCTTCCCCTGTCCAACTCCCTAAATACTGAATTGGCATTTCACAGGACTCTATCCTGGGTCCTCATAGTTTGCTATACTCTCTCTGGGGGCAGTACTGTCCAACAGAACTTTCTACAATAATGAAAATGTTCTATGTCTACACCACCCACTACGGTGGCCAACTGCCACATACAGTTATTGTGGGCTTGAAATCTGGCCAGTGTGACTAAGGAAATAAATTTTTAATTTAACTTTAGAATACCCACATGTGGCTAGTGGCTACTGCAATAGATAGTGCAGCTCTAGAGGATCATTCATTTCTTCCCACGGCTTTAAATACCTTCTGCTCATTTGATGACTCCCAAATGTACAGCTCCAGATATGACTACCCTAGAGCTCCAGCCCGTATACACAACCACTTCCTTGAAATTTCTCCATGCATATCTCACACATACCTCAAATCTTATCCAAAACAGAGTTCTAGACTTCTCCCTTCCCAAATCTATTCCTGTTCCAGGCTTATTCATTCCAGTAAATGGCACCACTGTCTGACTCAGCTGCCCATGCCACAAACCAGAAAGCTATCCTTGTTCCTCCCTGTCCATTACTTCTTGTATCCAATTCATTAGCAGGTCATTGATTTTATTTCCAAAATAAATCTACCTTCAATCCATTTCCATTACCACCATGCTCTCCAGGCCACTATCCTCTCCAACCTGGACTGCCAGCAGTCTCCGACATGATCTCTCCTTTCACTCTTGTCCCTTTATAAACCATTTCTACTTAGCAGCCAGAGTGATCATCTTAAAATATGAATCAAACATGTCATTCCTCCATTGACATGGCTTCCATTTAACAGCTTCTTTTCACTCAGGATGGAATTGAATGATCTGGCCCACCTATCCTACAAACCCAACTGTGCCACACATACCCTTGATCATTACGCTATAGCTAAAACCTTTCGGTATCTTGAACATGCCAAACTCTTCACACAAGGAGTCTGCACAGCTGTTCCCTCTGCTTGCTGTTCTTCCCGTTCTTGATATAAGCAACTCTTTCTCATCCTACAAGTCTTAGCTTTAATGTTACCTCTTAGGATAGGCCTTCCCTAGCTATCTATATAAAGAGGGTCCCTCCCCAACATTCTCTCTCTCTGTAACTTGTTTATTCCCTTCATAGCACTTAGCAATTTTTAATAATTTTATTTACTTAATTTTTTTGGTCGGTCTATGTGCAAGGAAGGCAGGGGGCAGGTCTGACTTACTGTTTACACAGCACCGGGCACAGCGCTTTGCATGCAGCCAGGTGCTCAGTAATATTTGCTTAATAAATTACTTCCCCCAAACACATTCACATCACTCATTTCCATTTCCTGGTTCCATGTAGTACAAAATAAATTTTTTACTGCTTATTAGAGGTTACCCTAGCTGAACTATGCTAGGCCAAGTTCTCTTATTACATGGCCTAGGCTTCAGCAATCAGGGACTCTAGAGCTATTAATGTTTGTAATTTTCAGGAAGAAGTTTGGTCCAAGAAGGCCTCTGGCTTCTCCACTTTGCTCCTTAGTCAACAATAAATATTAACTGGCAGGGAGCTTATAAAGTGGGGTGCCTAAACAGCACGAGGCAAACTGCAGTATGAAAAATGGCTCTAAAGGTGAAGAGTCTGGAATGGATGTTTCAATTCTGCTTTGGCCAGCATTCTTCTCCTCTGAATAGGGCCTTTGGTTTTCTAACCCTTTAAAATGGTTAATAGGGCCAGCCCCGTGGCTTAGCAGCTAAGTGCGCGCACTGTGCTGCTGCCGGCCCGGGTTCGGATCCCGGGTGTGCACCGACGCACCGCTTCTCCAGCCATGCTGAGGCCGCGTCCCACATACAGCAACTAGAAGGATGTGCAGCTATGACATACAACTATCTACTGGGGCTCTGGAGGAAAAAAATAAATAAATAAAATTAAAAAATAAATAAATAAAATAAAATGGTTAACACCATTATCTAATATCCTTCATTTCTTCAGAATTGGTATTAACAGCCTGTATCCTCTTTTAAAAATATTAATGTTTTATTTTATAGACTCCTGCTATCAAGTATAGTTAGTTAATTTTGGAATGCTTCACTTTCTCCTTATTTGCTGTGGAGAACCTGTGTTCCTAGCATTTGTTTTATCTTTGATCCTGGACCTAGGAAGGGCATTTGTGATTCTGATGGCAAGACACTGGATTATATTGCAACTGCTAACTGGCTGAGGCTACCTAACAGAGCATTAACCATCATCAGAGAGCGACAATTTCTTCCTCCCCTGGTGATGGCCCCACAGCTTACTTTGGGCCGTGGGCTACTAGGGTGATGAGAAGGGGATAGACTGGGAGAGGATTTAGGATACAAATCCTAAATTGTTGTAGCTACACAAATTTTTATGAAAAAAATCTCCCACTTGGTTTACATTTTCCCAGTCTCAGAGCACTTCTTATAACACAAGGGCAATCAGGTCTCCCAAGATTGCATACCCCGGATTACCCTCCACTGCTTTCCTTAAGTTACCTTGGTGATCTCAGGAGAATCACAACTTCTGAGGAAGAGGAGGTCCTGGAGTTGACAATGTAACTGCAATGTCATCTACATCAAATAACAGTTTCCAGTGAGGTAGACTTACGAAAGCAGCATTAATAAATACTTGTATATGTGTAGAAAGAATATATCCAGAAAGATACACAACTAGTAACAATGATTGTCTCTGAGGAGGACTGGGAGACAGGAGTGACAAGGAAATTTACTTTTCACTGAACACCTTTTTGAACTATTTCATTTTTTTTATCATAAGCTTGTTATATCTAATCAAAAGTAAATAAGTTTCAAAATCTGAAAAACATAAAAGAAATGCAGTGTTAGATCATCAAAGAGCCATTTAGATGCAGACATTTAGCTGGACTAACAGACATGAGACAATTAGAAAAATATAAGGCAGCACATAATTAAATACCAACTTGGGTGGTACTGATTACAAGCAGAAGAGGAAGAAAGGTCTGCTCAGTTGAAGGAACTGTGGTCTTAGATAAGGAAGGGAAACTTTTGGCCCAGGGAAACTTGAGAAAATAACAATAGACAGAAGCAGAAATGTGCACAAAGAAAGAACACAGAATCTGGAGTCAGACAAACCTGGTTCCAATCCATAACTAGCTGAGCAAACTTGAATGAGTTTTATAACCCTTTCAGCCTCAGATTTCTTATTTGTAAAATGGAGGTAAGAGTATCTACCTTAATAGGGTTAAGAAAAATTAAAGAATGTATGTAAAGTGGTTAGCACAGTACCTGACACAGAGTAGGTGCTAAACCAAATGTTGCCTAGTATAAACGTGGTTAAACAAGGGAACCAGTCTTGCTAGAGTACAGGGTATCTGTTCAGAAGGCGCAAGATAATATTGGCTATTCGAGGTATAGCAAATTGTGGACTGTCATCTCATTTTGTCTCTGGGGTTCCTGTAGCATAAGAATTATAAACAAGTGTCACCCTTAAGCATTCTCTAATGTTCAAGGTGAGAGATCTGACAGTTGTAGGATTTCTCTCTAGAATGGCGCCTCTGGTGCTTAATCAAAACAGAATTCTGACTGAAGGCCTTCTCACAGTCATTACATTTATAGGGTCTTTCCCCAGTATGGATTCTCTGATGTCGGATAAGGTGTGCTTTGCAAATGAAGCTTTTCCCACAGTCAGCACATTCATGAGGCTTCTCCCCAGTGTGGACCCTCTGGTGCTGAGCAAGATCTGAGTTCCACATAAAGCCTTTCCCACAGTCCTTACATTCATAAGGCTTCTCCCCGGTGTGGATTCTCTGATGTCGAAGAAGGGCTGGGTTCCGAGTAAAGCTTTTCCCACATTCCTTACATGTATATGGTTTCTCCCCAGTGTGGATTCGCTGATGTTGTGTAAGGCTTGTGTTCTGACTAAAGCCCTTCCCACATTCCTTACATTCAAAGGGTTTCTCTCCAGTATGTATTCTCTGGTGCCGAATGAGATTTGACTTCCAAACAAAGGCTTTAGCACATTCTTGACATATGTAGGGTTTCACCCCCGTGTGAATTCTCTGATGTGCAATGCAATGTGATCTAAAACTGAAAGTCTTCCCACATTCCTTACATCCATAGACCTTCTCTCCATTATGAATTCTCCGATGTTCATCAAAGTCTTCATTTTGATCAAAACACTTGCCACATTCTTCACATGTGTAGAATACTTGCTCACTTAGAATTTGCTGATGTACAACAAGGTGAGTATTAACATCAGTATTCTCTGAACACTCTTCTACTGAGATCATCTCATCTTTGACAATCACTTCTATAATATCATTCGTAGAGTTCTCCACACTTCCTCCATTGGGGTAGTCAGGCCATCTCCCTAACCTGCTTTTCTCCTCTTCCCAGGTTTTTCCAAACCAGAATTCTTGGGATCCACACCACTGGGGTCCACTTGATAGCACCATGTGCTCCTGTGCCTCCTCAAAAATTTCCTCCTTCAGAATAAAATTTTCTTCCTCACTCTTCAACACACCCTCTGAAAGAAGAAATTAGAGCTGCAAATGTCATCATTACTCATGACAGAGTGACTAGAGTCAACAAGTAGTATTAATATGTCCATTTTTCTCCAAGTAACACCCCTGTGTCTAAGTGCCCCTGTCCTAGCTAAAAATGGCAAAACAGGGCTAACACATAGAAAGCAACCAAAAGCAATAGGCAGAAACTAGACAGAATCCCTGAAAGCTGTGATTCCCAGCACTAGACCAAACTTGGGGGCTGTTCTCAGAAAATAGTTGAATTGAATCTAAGGGAGATGGAATTCCTCCTAGGTATTCCAGTTTATAACATGAGAAGAACAGGCCAGGATTCAGAGCAGCAGACCTGTTCAGAAATAAAGAATATTTTGTGGTATACCTGGGGAACCTGAGTTTGTCACACACAGGGGAGCAGCGAGAAGAATCTTCCTCATACTTTTCAACACTAAAAGGAAATGGAGTCTTCTCATTCAATCCCAACACCAGGTCCACTAGGAAAAGGGCTTCCCCAAACTACTTCAGATAGAGTTGGGCAAACTCCATCCTCTTTGTTCCCATAGTGTCTTATTCACACCTCTGTTACAGCATGCCATTTTGCTGTAATTATACATTTATGTATAATGTCCCACTAGACTGTGAGCTCTTCCAAGATAGGGGTCATATATTATGTGATTTTTGATCCCTAGCAACTAACACAATGAGTAAAATACAGCATTTACTTTTATTTATTTATTTATTTATTTATTTTTTCCCCCAAAGCCCCAGTAGATAGTTGTATGTCACAGCTGCACATCGTTCTAGTTGCTGTATGTGGGACACGGCCTCAGCATGGCCGGACAAGCAGTGCGTCGGTGCGCGCCCAGGATCCGAACCCGGGCTGCCAGCAGCGGAGCACACGCACCCAACCACCAAGCCACGGGGCCGGCCCCTACTTTTAAAATATTGGTTGACCATAGCAGCCAGATAGGTAGGCCATCTATGCAGTCTGAGTCTAACACCCAAGACCCACCCAAATTTAATTAATTGAGTATGTCCAAATGAAAGCTGGAAGTTTAGAGTCTAAGTTTCCTCTTGATTAATTGGTTGATTTGGGGATTTTTAGCGGCTCTTTTGTTTAGAACACAAATGGTAAAATGGAATTTTAACATTTTACAAAGGAAATAGAGGAAAACATATGACTGGAAGAAAAGTGCTCATTTCTCTCTCACTTACCATTACAAATTAGGCTTGGACTCTCTCCTTGCAGTTTCAGGTTCAATGGCTCTTCCACCTGCTCAAGATGAGAGATCCCGGCAGGCTTTAGAAATGGATATCCTGCCAGGGTCAAGATATAAATACGGCTGGCTCAGTCGGAGGAGTGGGACCCATTAGGAAAGGAGCAGAGATGGAAGTGGTAGGGGAGAAGGAAAGTGAGTGGAAAGACTGGTAACACAGAAGACCTGAAACTTGAGGGTATGAGAATATAAAGGATAGGAAACAGAGGTACAGGGAAGTTGCAATTCCATCAGTTCTAAAAAAATACGAAAACATATCACTCATGTTAAAATGTCAAGAAGAAATAGGAAAGACTACAGTCACTTCTGCACCTGCCCCTAGGAGGTAAAAGCCAGTTCACATAGAAAAGAATCAGGATAGGACAGAATTGCAAAGAGCTGTTCTTGAGGCTGTGCTGGGAAACCACAATCTCTTAGTTTCCTTCCTTCCTATTTATCTATCGCCCACTCTCTCCACAAAGGATCAACCATGGGTCTCTCTATGGCATCCATAAGAAATGGCCTCATAGCCTCACTTAGCCATTTCCAGAAGTCACTTCTTACTCTAACGATAGACATCTCTATTTACAAAGGTCCATTCTAATAAATTCTTCAGGCTCAGCTAAGATCTGTCTCTTTGTAACTCCCATTTGAAGCCTCCTAAGAAACAGATCAATTCTACAACTTCCAAATGATGACCTTTTATGTTGTTAAAGCCAAGAACTGTCAGTCCCCTGAGTATTCTCTTCTTTAAGACAAAAGTGGACGTTGAGTAGGGACATGTGCTCCAAGAAGGTCTGCTGCAGGTCAGCGTTAGGGATTTGCTCAAGGAATAACTTAGCTGTTAGCTTTCTGCCTAAAGCAAAGATGGGAAATTCCCTTGGGTGGTGGGGAGAGTAAGCACTGAGATCCTAAGGGAATGTAAAGGACGCTGTAGTTGTCTCTCTACATCCTTTCTATCCCTCCCCCATTGTCGAGCAGCCATGCCCTTTGGTGGGGAGTGATCCCAACTCCAACTCCTAGTGCAGGCCCCCACTGGTCTAAGCCAAGCAGGGTATCCCATCCCACTCACTACATGAGACCGGTTCAGGGATCAGCAGTCCAGGCAAAGTCAATCAGTGCACAATATGTCCCTGGCCACAGTGATTGATTTAGAGCTGGCATAAGACTTAAGATGGTGCATTAGAGCAGTACTTGGGACTTTGATTTGCAAAGGTTAAAGCCTGAAGAAGGCCCACCCTGTTTCTATGCCTAGGTATGAAGAAGCAGAGCCCTGGTTACAACTACCAATCACCTTACAACTGGAGCCAGACTATAGACAAAGCCAACACACAAGGAGACAGAGAAGAGCAGAGATTGGAATTCTGATAAAACTGTACCTGCAGCCCACGCTACCTATGGGATTCCCAGTTACAGAAAACAATAATTCATCTTTATTGTTTAAGCTAGTTTGAATTGAGTTGTTACTTGCAATCAAGAGTATCCTAATATGGAAAGGCTGCCAGACACAGCAAGGAACTATGAGAATGGGGAAGTTGAGGGCACTGTGCCCACAGAAGAGCCCCTGTGGGAAGAAGATGGAATGGGACCAAGGAGGCAATAAGGGGACACATTTATCACTAGGAAATTAGGAGCTGGAAAGCCCTGTGTTGGGTTTGTCAGGGTTTTCCCCACCAGAAATCCCTAAAGAATAGGAACTATTTGGCTGGGCGTTATTGAGACTTCTTGATTTCTAATGATAAAGATGGCCACAATACTCCAAAGGGCAACCAGAATCTTAAGCAGGCTGGGAAAGTAGAAAGGCCATCTCAGATCAGAGAGTAAACAGACAAGTCAGGGAGTAAAGATAAATAGTGGTCATGATAAGAACAGTGGAGATGGGGAAAAGGCAAAACAGGTGAATGAAGATGGCACACAGAGGAGCCAGGATGAGCAAAACAAGGACTCAAAAAGATGGAAAACATAAGAACACAGAGGAGAAAAAGGAATCCCACTGGTGTCCACAGCACTAGGTTAGGAGAACACATACCTATTACAATTTAAAGATCAAGACAAGGGAACTGGTCAGATGACTGGCACATGTGTCCTCACTCACCTGAGGAGATGCCCCTCGGGCCCTCTCCATCCAGAGCTCCCTGAGGAGCCGAGCACCAGGGTGCTTCCCCTCGCTCCAGCTGGGAAATCAGAGCCGGTTTGGGAAATGGAAATGCTGCTTGAGGGGAAGGAAATGGGACAGGCAGGTGAGTGGGGTGACACAGAACAATCCCAGGGCTCCTCCCAGGCCTGTGTCTTCAGGGGCAGGAGGGGAAAGAAGGGAAATTACTAGCGAACGCGAGGAAAGAAGTCCAGGGAAAGGGGCAGGAGACCCAGGGCAGAGGGGCCAACAGGCTTACAAAGGTCAGGAAGTAGACAGAGTAAGAGGTGCTCAGTAACGCTGTGAGTGAGAAAACAGATGATTTCACTCATTGAGGAATTGAGCTTTCTTGGTCTCTCCCTCTCTGAGCTCCCAAGTCCAGACATCTGTATGAGGATGCCTGGTATTGGGCCAAGTCTCCCAAACTGAGGGGATGGGGAACTGAGGTCTTGGTGTGGCACCAGGAATCTGCTTTCTTCCCACTGCACATGGGTTAGGAGGTGGGCAGCTCTCATCCTGGGACAAGAAAGTCCTCTGTGAGGCCTGAATTGATACCAGGACTTCCTACTTCCCAGCAACCGCTAAGGTTGGGTCAGTAAGAATCCAAGATCCTGAAGTTGCCGCTCAAGTGAGAGTTACCAAAGACTCCTCAGCCTTTGAGGAAGAAGAAGCCAGCAAACTTTAAAAGGCAGAGACAGAGTCCAAAGGGAAAGACCCTTACCCAGGGAAGCCACAGCCCCATAATTGTCCAGCATCACATCCCTGTACAGGGCCCTCTGAGCAGGGGCCAGGCCAGTCCATTCGTTCTCAGAGAAGTAGACGGCTACATCCTCGAAGGTCAGTGACTCCTGAAACAACATGTGTTTAAATACCCTAGGACAATCCCAGGACCTGGGCCTGGAGTAAGGGGTAGGCCATGAACTAAGAGGTACTGATGGGGATGCCTGTTGAGTTTCTGGATTTTGTCTGTCTAAGGAAACTTGCAGCAAATTTTTGCCCCTACCTACAGAGACAAGGGATTAGCCATCAAGTTTCTCATGTCTCTTCATTTCTAATTCAGCAGACATCCTCTCATCTTTTTCACGAGGCTCTGCAACTTTTCCCTTTTCCTCCCTACGCCCAAAACAACTATTTGTGCTCTAGGTGCCATCCTTTCTCCACAATGTGTCCTCCTTCGAGGATTGTCAACGCTTCATAACAAGGGCAACGCCCATTTACGGAGGCTGTGCCAAGCACTTGACATATATTACTTTGTGTATGCCTCACAGCCTATGAGGAGGGCATTAGATCCATTTTGGAGAAGAGGAAACCGAGGCTCAGAGATGAACTTGCCCCAAAGTTATAGGACTGAGACAGAACTCAGGCCTGTTTGACTTTGGCTCTTATCTACTGTGCCACACTTCCTTCTATTGTCACTCCTGCTGCCCCTGTGTAGCACCCTGTCTCTTCTTTCCCTCCCAGTCACTGCCACCAGTCCAAGAGGCAGCTAAGGGCACCTCAGAACACTCAGGTTGCTCCGGAGGCTGTACCAACGGGGCAGATGTGAACTCTGGGTTTACTCCCTGCACTTCCCCACCCAACCCCCACCCTGCTCTTTCTTACCCACCTCCCAGTCCCAATGTCCCCTTTTTCTATACGTCTGGGATCTCGAGCTCCTGTAGCCTTTCTTTCCTTTCTCTCTCACGGTTTGCCTTAAGAAACACAAACAGTACTAACAAACAGAGCCATCAAGACTTCGTATAATTCCCAGCCACTGCCTCATTCAGGATCTCAATATCCATACTATGGAGGGGCTGATTCTGGTCCACTTCACATCAGTCCTTGCCCAACAAAGTCCCTACAGTGACGTACCCAGCATTCCAGGACTCAAAGGCTTTGGTTGGCTCACCTTTGCCCACCTAAAAAAGTCCAAATCCTCTGCACCACAGACAATTCCATTCACCATTTAGGGCCCCAGCTTACCTGCCAAGAATCATCTCTTACACCACCACCCTCATCCCCTATCCTGTCACCACCCTCTTATGAACCCGAACCCTTTCCTTGCCCAGATCTGTGCCCTTTTGCACCTGCAGCTCCCCGTCTTAAGATCCAATTTCTTCCTCCTGCGCCTGCAAACTCATTTGCATCTCAAGACCCACCTCAAACATAACTAGCTCTGTAAAACCAGTGTCACAGAAATTCTGGGAATTCGTCGCTGCGCACAGCGCCCTGTGAACACCTCCGCCCCAGCACTTGGCTCATGCCTGTGCAGCTGCACGTGTACTTCCCCTGCCGGCGCAAGTCTGAGGGGTGTCGATTCCACTCTGCGCCCCGCCTGTTCTTCCGGGCCCTCACTCTGGGCTGTACCCCGACTTCCCAGTCGCCACACTGCCCGCTCTCCGCCCCTTATCTGGACCTAGAGCCCGGGGCAGAGCCGAGCCAGCTTCGTGGCGCCGGCCCCGCACTCACCGGGCGCGCCCGGGCCGGTGCGGGCTGTCCCGGCAGCAGCTCGAGTGCAGGGCCGAAGCGGGCCCTGCTCGCCAAGGCCGCGGTCGCCATGGCCCGGGTCGCCCTCCGGGGAAGCGAGCGCGCGCCAGGCCCTATCCGGGGCTGCTCGGTGTCGGGGAGGGACGCTCCGGACCGGGGCGAGCCTGACATAACCGCCCCGCGCCCGGGAGCCACCCTGGCAGCACCCAGACTCCACGCCCCGCCAGCCTGGCCAAGCCCACGCCCAGATCACCACGTTCTGCGCGGGCCAGAGCCCCGCACTAGAGAGGTGGAGGCTGCAGCGCTTGTGCCGCTCCGGCTTCTCTAGGACGGTGGAGGGCGCCGCGTCTCTGTGGTCCTCCCTTCTTGCCCGGCAAAGGAGTGAGGGGAGAGTGGTCCAGTTCTCCCAGAGACGCCGACTGCCCCGGCGCGCCGCCGCAAGGATGGAGGCGAGCAGGCGGTCAGGGAGGAGGCGTCCTCTCGGAATCCTTTCCCGGCCCTCTTCTTCCCACTGACCGCCCTTCTTCACCTCTCTGCACCCTTGTAGGATGGATACCGATGTAAGGCAGCATAGTTGACTATGCCTGTTCATATATCTGCCTCCCTTTACTAGGTTCTACATTCCCAGAGAGCAGATTACGTCCTTGGTACGTTCATCTTTGCGTCTCTTACATCCGCCCAATGTCTAGCGCCTCTTAGGGCCCAATTTCTTTAAGTGCCAAGGAACATTTGTTGAATAAAAGAATGAATGAATCAATGTTGAACCAGGTTTTCAGTTGAAGTAAGCCCCAAAGAGAGGAAATGGCTTACCTAACATCACACAACCTGTCAGGAAGCTAAACTTTTAAACAAAGTTGTGGAAATAAAAGATGACCACCCACATGAGAATAAGCAAAGTCTATTTATTCAGAGCTTGGTATAGCAAGGGAGTCAACTACCATTACTTGCATTTGGCAGAGACTCTAAGTCAGGCAGAGAAGTGGGAACGCTTTATAGTAGGAAAAAGGGAAGGCTTCAGGTATGCTCTGATTGGAGACTGTTGGCATAGGGGGCTAACCAGAAGCAAAGCATCTCATGTGATTGGTTGGGGGAGCATATTAATCAAATTCTGGCTGTTTGGGGCTGACTGCTACAGGGATTATTTTGGCTTCCTGGACAGGTTGTTGCAGATTGTGGGTCAGAGTTCTATTTTTCTATATGGTCTGGCCATTGTCCATTTGTATATTCAGTTTCTTGGGGTGAACAAGGTAAGAAGATGTTTGCTTCACAGGAATTCAAGTCTACAGGCTCAGATGCCTTACAGCTCCCCAGGTACTGAAAGCTTACAGATACCATACCTGTGAAAAATCACAGAGCAAAGGAGACCTCAGATGAGCTCCTAGGTTGGTTGGTTGGTTGGTTTCTAAGAGGATACTAGAGAAGCTTGTAAATGGACACTCGCTTATAGTCTGTGAGCACTGAGAAGGAAGGAATGACGCTTACCCTGGGTAAGATCACTAGGAAGGTTGAGCATACGACAAATGTACCCATGATTTTCTTAGGGACAAGATGGAGAAAAATGGACTGAGTGACAAAACAATTTTTTAGCTAAGAACAAGGAGCCTTCAGATGCCTGATTGCTAAGTCACAGTCGACCAGAAGGAAGGTCTCTTATGGCTCTCATGTCTTGCCTACACCATATGCCTACACTCATCCCTAGTTAGCTCAGAAATTCCTTTCTTATGTAACTTATAACAGCCTAGAACATCTCCTACCCTCTGACATGTGGGCCATGCCAAGACCACCTTAGGAGTTGTCACCTCATAATTCATGATCACTATAATCATTATCTATAGTTGCTCAAATCCAGCAAGCATAGCTGGGAGGCAAAAAAAAAGCACTACGTTAAGTTTCAGTATCCCAGCCCCTTGCTCTTCTTCCCTACTTGCCAATTCTAGTAGTCCAGTTTTCCAGGGATAGGCATGGGAGAACAAAAATAGAATGAGAAGGGCTAATTACGTGCTTTGGGTTTCCTGCAGCCAGCTGGGGCCTTCTTCCACTCCTGAACCTCATAATTAGATATTAGATTTAAATGGGAGGGACCCTTTTAGGTAATTGTAAAATTTAGAGCCCAAATAGACTATCTTAAGTTGTACAACACTGAAAGCTGAGGCTTGGTTGTCCAATTATCTTTTTCCAATGTGTCTGGACTTGAATTTATTTCACTTTATCCTGTTAGGGGTTTGTACAGCTAATTTTAATGAAATCCAATTTACCTATTTTTTTCTTTTGTTGCCTGTACTTTTGGTGTCATATCCAGGAAATTGTTGCCAAACCCAATGTCCTAAAGATTTTCCTCAATGTTTTCTTCTAACAGTCTTATAGTTTTAGCTCTTTAGTTTAGGTCTTTCATACAATTTGAATTAATTTCTGTATATGGTAGGTAATTTCATTCTTTTGCATGTGATACCCAGTTTTCCCAGCATCATTTGTTGAAAGAGTGTCCTTTCCCCCTTGAATGGTCTTGGCATCCTTATTGAAAATCAACCGCTCATATATGATAGGGTTTATTTCTGGGCTCTCTGTTCTGTTCCATTGGTCTGTGTGTCTGTCTTTATGCCAATACCATGATGTTTTATTTAATATAGCTTTGTAGTAAATTTTGAATTCAGGAGGAGTGAGTCCTCCAACTTTATTCTTTTTCAAGACTGTTTTGGCTATTCAGGGCTCCTTGCAATTCCATGTGAATTTGAAAATCAGCGTTTCCATTTCTGTGAAAAAGGCTGTTGGGATTTTGATAGGGATTGTGTTGAATCTATAGATCACTTTGGGTAGTATTAACATGTTAACAATGCTACATCTTCCTATCCATGAACATGGAATGTCTTTCCATCTATGTAAGTCTCATTTCTTTCAGGAATGTTTTGTATTTTCAGCACACAAGTCTTTCACCAACTTGGGTAGATGTATTCCTAAGTATTTAATTCTTTTAGATGCTATTGTAAATGGAATTGTGTTCTTAATTTCCTTTTTGGATTCCTCATGCTGGTGTATAGAAACATAACTGATTTTGTACCCTGCAACTTTCTTGAATTTATTAATTCTAGTAGTTCCCTTGTGAATTTGGGGGATTTTCTATATATAGGATCATATCATCTGTGAATAGTTGTCCCTCTTCCTTTCCAATTTGAATGCTTTTTATTTCTTTTTCTTGCCTAATAGCTAATAGAACTTCCAGTACAATGTTGAAGAGCAGCAGTGAAAGTGGGCATCATTGTTTTGGGGTCTTCCTGATCTTAAATGGAAAGTTGTCTTTCACCATTGAGTATGATGTTAGCTGTGGGTTTCTCATAAATACCCTTTATCATATTGAGGAATTTTCTATTTCTAGTTTTATGAGAGATTTTATCATGAAAATGTGTTCAATTTTGTCAAATGCATTTTCTGCATCAATTGAAAGGATCACATAGGATTTTCTTCCCCTTCATTCTAATAATGTGATGTATCAAATTGATTTTCTTATGTTCAACCAATCCTTGATTTTCTCATATAAATCCAACTTGGTTATGGTGAATCATCCTTTTAATATGCTGTTGGATTTGATTTGCTAATATTTTGTTGAGGATTTTTGCATCTATATTCATACGGGATACTAGTCTGAAATTTTCTTTCATATGATGTCTTTATTTGACTTTGGTATCATAGTACTACTGGCCCCACAGAATCAGTTAAGAAGTGTTCCTTCTCCTTTAATTTTTTGCAAAAGTTTGAGAAGGACTGGTGTTAATTCTTCTTTAAATGTTTGGTAGAACTCACCAGTGAAGCCATCTGGCTTAGGACTTTTCTTTGTTGGGAGGTTTTTAATTAGTGCCTTAATCTCTTTGCTTGCTATAGGTCTGCTGAGATTTTCTATTTCTTCTCGAATCAGTTTAGGTAATTTGTGTTTCAAGGAATTTGTCCATTTCTTCTAGGTTATCTAATTTGTTGAAGTACAATTGTTCATAATGTTCTCTTATAATTGTTCCTATCTCTGTAAGGTTGGTAGTAATGTCCCCATTTTTATTTCTGATTTTAGTTATTTGCATCTTTACTTTTTTCTTAGTCAATCTAGCTAACGGTTGTTATCAGAGGTTCGGGGATTCGATCGGAGACGTAAAAGACACTTTCCACTCCAAACAAATGGACTGAAGGTATATTTTATTATATAGAGGATAGTAAAGGCGA